AAAGAGAGAGAATATAAAAAATTACCGAAATCACTAATTAATATATAGTAAACCAATATCCTTTAAGTTAACAAAAATTACGAATATAGTTGGTAAATAATCAATCAGCTATCCGCGAAACCCCAAAAGGCTTATTCCGTGTAAATTCAGTGGGTAACCGATAATGGATACTCAAATTGATTGAAAAATCCGTAATCTTACCGAAATCTAAAATTCGCAGTTAGTAATTTTACTAATCCATATCCATTTGAAATCCCTTTACAATTAATCCCCAAATCCGTAACCCTAACCAGTCATAAGCAAAGATTGGGTTTGTAATCTACTAGCCCGGAATTATTGATATGTTACTGGAACTAGTGGGAATCTACGTAAAGAAAAGCTGCTCTGTGCCTGCCCTAAACTTAAGATCGACCACCGTGCGTAAACCAATGAAGAAATGCAAAGGTTCATAGCATGTAGTGCTTGATATAAATGAATCGGATCGGATTACCCCTTAATACACGTTCCGCTTCCCAAATCCACTCACATTAAGAACATAAACGAATACAATTGAATATCTAGCTAAAGAAAATTAATTCGAGAAATGATTTAATAGGGTTTTAATTCCACAATTTGTTTTTTCAAATTTCTAATTCAACGGTCGATATGTTTATAAGAAACGATATGAATTAGAATCCAAAACGGTAAATACAATTTTATTTTGGAATGTAGTTTTTTTTTGGGGAAGCTCGTTTCTTTTTAGGTAAGACAAATAGAACTGGTCTTCAATTAAATAAATTCATTAGGGCCAAAGAAGAATTTCAAGCAGATAAATTAGGTTGGGTCACCGAAATTGTTTTTGCCGCAAAAAATAATTTAAAATTTTCAAAAAACAAATTTAAATTTTTTTTATTAATTTAATTGGATTTCAAACAGGTAATTAGGTTTTAATTGGAACTTTCTCGCTATTTTTGCTCTAATTAAATTGTGTTGGTTTGGAATAGATAAAGTAAGTAGACTACATTAATGCCATAATATAATCACTTAAATACGCAGAAAAATGACTGAAATTCTTTAACACAAAATTGGTACAAGTTATTGGTTGGAGAGGCAAATGCGAATTCAATGCCCTAAAAATTTTGAAAACATAAATTGTGAACATAAATTAAAACATACTTTGTTAGAAAAACTAAAAAGAAGATGTTCCCTCCTCCTACTGAGGTGGGCTCAGTTAGCAAAACATGTTCAATTCCTCACTAAACGGCATCTGTAGGAAAAGAGCGAAGGAAGTTTTATCTGTGAACTAAACCAAGTCCGGATTAGGCTGTCTCCTAATAATAGCAGTCCGGATACCCAGTGGTTATATATTAGTATAAAATATATACTCATGTTAAAAAAAACAACCTAAATTCTTTATTTGCAGTTTTGCACTATGTTTAAGATTGCCAATGGTAAAGAGATGTAGACTTGGGCTTTGTATTTGATTGGGCGGTTCCTATGTTTTGTTTTCGTTTCTTGCAACCCTCAGCTTGGGCCAGCGCATCTCTGATAATAAAAGGTTGGCTTATTGTACTACTTGGTATCGACGCTACTGGTTACAGATTGCGGCCACAATCTGTTTCTTGTTCCTCTTTGTTCCCTGCTTCTCTAAGCAAGCACTTGCATATTGCATTTGCACATTGCACATGCCAACTACACTACTAAGTGCCATGCTAGGTCCTTCTCTTGCCTACCCGCCTCAACACCTATGTCCTCTTCACTAAGGTATCTCTCCTCTCTCTCTCTCTCCTCTCGTCTCTCTCCTCTGTGTGTGGTGTGTTAATGTCGAAGTCCCTAAATTTTCTTGAAAAGCATATGAAATAATTTTACTTGCCATCAAATAAGGAGTCTTGGGTTCTAAATAGTAACTTAATTGATTCCTTTTGGATTTATTATATTTAATTTTAATTCTGTTTTCAACAAATTGAAGAAAAGAATAAGGATTAATGGTTTGAATCTGTTGACTGGTTGTTTATATCACAACAGACCAATGTTGTGCTTGAGCAAGATGACAATCTAACCAACCCACTTGCCCAAAAAATTATTTCTGTTGAAGGGCCCGACATCAAACGTCAAGAACAAAACCGATGGGTAATGCATTATTCTTCTTCTAATGTTTGTTTACAAAACCTTAGTTAATAGTTATAATATTAGCCTTCACTTGCAAACAGTTTCAAATGAGCAATCAGTCCTCTCTCTCTCTCTCTCTATGTAATAATATATACATTATGAATTTATGCTTCAAATTATTATTCAATAGTTTATTCGTCAATTTTCTCTTTAGCTCGTAAACTAATTGTGTATATGTGGTTACTATAAATGAAGATAATGGTGGATTTATTGGTTTTCAATTTTGAGAGATAAAATGTAAGCCAGAAATTTAGAAAAAATATTTTCCTTAATTTGGGATTTTCACCTTGTATGAGACGGATTGCAAGGAGGGGGGTTTTGTACATGGTCTATAAAGGAACATTTTTGGCTTCTTTCCTATTTCAAATCCCTAAATGATTTCTAAACAGAGCATTTTTTTCCCCTATACTTCCTCCTAATGCCCTTTTCTGGCTCAGGTTTTAGATTTTATTTCAGTATTACCACATCAAATTGGTTAAAAAATTAGACGCCAACTTGTTTCATCATCTATAAATTCATGTAGAACAACATAACCCAGGGAATGTATATTAAGCTTCAAGCAGTACTCTGAAGCTAATAGCCAATAAGAGCTTGCTGGAGTTAAGAAACAATTCTGACAGTACAATTCTCTAAATACCATAGTTTTGGTTTGGTTTAATAGGAATTGTCCCCCTTGGTGACACATGCTACATGTAAACTTAAATAGTCTGTTTCAAGAAACTAAGTGCATCAGTCTCAAATGTCATGAAATTGCAGCATTAGATTCCGTCTTGTCTCCTATAACATTTTGGCTCAGTATCGAAAGCTTGTAAACATTTGTGTGCAGCGGATAATTTCTTGCTTTATTAAGACTGTCAAATTTATTTTCTTCTTTGAACCCATCATGGGTAATTGGACATTTATCTTGGTAGCAAATAAAGAAAATTGAAAGAATTATAAAATATCAAACAATTCAAAAGGAATGTGCATGTGTTTCTTGCGGGTTTTAAGATTTTGTTTCATGTCTGCTGTCTTGATGTTGTAACCGATAAAATATATGATACTTCTATAACTTCTTGGTCTTGGTTCTGCCCATTTTTGGCTTGTCTATTGTGAAGAAGTAAGGAATTTGTATTTAGCGTCACAAGTTCATGGTTGTGTTCATGCATAAAGTTGAAAAAATACTGGAGACATATGCATCACTAGATACCATCTGATTAGTTTAGGTTAAATAGATTTAGGTAAATACATTGAGCAGAATCTAAAGATCAATTCACAAAATGAAGTCAAGTTTTTTAAAGCCTTAGGACTTGCTTTGATTGAAGAGTGAAGATGTCCTTGAAACCAAAAGTGGGACCTTTGGGCTTAGTTCCTAAATATGGCTGCTACTTCATGGAAGTTTGGTCTGCTGTTCTGTAAGTTGTGTGTTTTAGGTTGGGTAGCGTTGGGAACATAAGTGGAAAAGTTATTAGGCCGTTGCACACCATGTGCAGGATGTGTACTTCACATTTGCTAAATTGTTTAGAGAATGTACACTAGATAGTCCTTTTTCCTCAATAAACTAATTTTAAAAAAAAAAATTTGTGGTACACTAGGTGCAACTTAGACTTTCCTTGAACATCTTGACACTGATTGCAACTGTGCTTCAATTTGACTTGAACCTTCCTAAAGTAATGGATTCTTCTCTCTCTCTCTCTCTCTCTCTCTCTCTCTCTCTCTCTCTCTCTCCTTGGGGCCATTGAACCTATATATCATAATTGAATAATATCGTAGAACATATTTATAGTAAAAATGATTTTTTACGAAATTACTTTTTGAGCGAATTCATTGAATTGGTTAGATTTAATTTTAATTAATTGATATATAATTTAAGTGCAATAGTCAATTTTAAACATTGATATTGCTTGAGCTATGTGTTTAATATAGTCGCACGTCAATTTTAACTAGACAATCGTAATTTCTTTTCAAGAAATATTTAATTTCTATTAAATTTTGAATTTTGATTCTTTTTGCTACTTTGTCATTTTTTTTAAAGCTGTAACTGCAACTGTATTGACTTTCAGACTTTGCCATAATAATTTGGTGCTGCAATTTAGAATTTATTGCCAATCTCATTCTCTCTCATATCACTTATTACTTCAATGTACCTTTTTGTCATATTGAGTTATGTCTATAGTGATTAAGGAGAAAGATGGGTTGAGATGGTGAAATATATGCAATGATCTGGCTTTTGAATGTTGCACATGATTTAGAAATGCTGCAAATGCGGTTATGACCTCTGGAATTTGTGCCAAAATTTAACTGAATCTTACTTCTCTTGGAATATCATGCAGCTGTAATAAACTTTAACTGAATCTTACTTCTCTTGGAATATCATGCAGCTGTAATAAACATATTTTATTCTTGATTTTATTGTACACACTATGCTTGGTTTGTATCTATAAAACTTCGTGGAAGATGAATTTAGAATTTATTGCCAATCTCATTCTCTCTCATGTCACTTATTACGTCGATGTACCTTTTTGTCTTATTGAGTTATGTCTACAGTGATTAGGGAGAAAGATGGGTTGGGATGGTGAAACATGTGCAATGATCTGATTTTTGAATGTTGCACATGATTTAGAAATGCTATAAATGTGATTATGACCTTTGGAATTGTGCCAAAGTTTAACTGAATCTTACTTCTCTTGGAATATTATGCAGCTGCAATAAGCATATTTTATTCTTGATTTGATTGTGCACAGTATGCTTGGTTTGTATATATAAAACTTTGTGGAAGATGAAATCGTTAACTATTGCAAAAATGTTTAGGTCTTGGCATACTTGTTCCTCTACTCAGACTCTATGATGAATTTCAGGGATTTCTGATATTGTAAATCGTTTTATCATGTAGGTTTATGTGAAGAGTTCCTTATTTCCACATTCTCCATCTCCTTGCCTCAAGTAATTCTTGTAACTCTTTTTCCCTCTTTCTTTGAGTGATTTTATGATTTTGGTGTAAAATCAACGTTGTCCCTTTGTAGGCAACCCAAAAGGGGGTTTGAACTGGGTACTGTTAAAATTTTTCAAGTTGCTATACAAACCTTTACTTACTGAAGCAACCAAATGAAGGGAGGATAAGGAAAAGAGAATTAAAACAAGGATTTATAGAGGTTCAGCTTCCAACCAAACCTATGCCCTCTTGTCAAGGGCCTGCTTGAGAGTTTTCTTCACTACCACAATGTTCTTCAAGGTGAAGATTAAGCCCTTACAAAATATCTCCTTTTTGATTGCGATCCCTAGCAATCCTGCAAATTGAAGTTCCATACAACCAAACAACCTTTCTTACTCTCTTAACAAAAATTGCAACTTAAGAGACTTCTTTAATCTAAAAAAGAATTGCAAATTTTGGCACAAAGCTTTCTAGAGAGAAAAATTTGTAGGCACATTGAATAACTCAATTAATTGCACAAAGTTGGTCTTCCCAACTCTGTAAATATGCCCAAGGTTGATTGTCCCCTCATTATTAAATGACCGTTTGGGTGCATCTAATTCATTTCCTACCATTCAACAACCAAACCTAGCCGTTATTCCCATTTTCCAGACTAAGGTTCAGCAGCTGAACTTCAAGGTTTTTGTGGCCAAACTTGTGCCACAGACACATTAGGAAAATAGCAAGGTTTGGCAGCCAAAGCTCCTTCTACAGCTTCCCAGGCACCTTCCTAAACCTCAAAAACTTGAATTTTATCTAAAATATTTTGGTTGAATGGTTTCCTATAAACCCACTTCAGGTCTTAAAGACTTGACTAAGGGTCCCAAAGGTCCATAACTAAGATATAGCCAAATGCAATTTTTCCAGAAATGAAAGTTACAAGGATTTAAGCAAAATAAAACCATGATACTTTAAATTTATAATCCTTATAATCCTCATCTTGGATGATAATCTTCTTAAATCTTTTTAATACTTCAAGCTCTAAATATTCAACATCCATAAACTTGAAGTACTTCAGATAAATTAATTTTTCAATATTTTGAGGGACCTAAAAACTTACACAAACACTTGAAATATAATTAGTTGCGCAACTTACTATTCATTATCATCAAAAGATATTAATTCAGTACCTCTTTGTTCAACAATGAATATTTATGATTCTTGGATGCATCTTATTGAATGAGGTAACTACCAACTTATTGTTCATGTATTTTGTAACCTTTCTCTATAATGATACCGAAGAAGCTGGTGAAGAAAAGAAGAGGAATAAAAGAACTGACTCTATCAACTATGCTACATTTTGTAAACCGTGTCTATATCCTGCAAATACCTGCTAGTATCTTCTTTTATTCCTTTTTCACTAAATTTAGTGGTCTTATTATTTAAGCATATATCATGGTTTCTGACAACCATGCAACCTTATACTGTCCTTAGCTCAAATGCACATGCAAACACATAGATGTTAATTATTCTCTTACTCCTTGAAGGTTATTGTTCTAAGTAAACCGTGATATGCTAATTCAAGGTTAAGGATCTGATGGAAGTTCTTTGTTATGGTCCCTAGATAAGGATCTAGTTATGGGGCGATGGTATGAGGGATTGGTGGGTGATTGGGATGACGAAGGGCGTTTACTGCGACCTATGGTTGCAGACGTTCAGGCTCAATAGAGGGACCCTGAAAACCTCTTGAGCCCTGAAAACCTCTTTGAGTTTAAGTCTCAAAAACTTGTAGAAGTTCAAAACTGGAGTTTTCATTAAACATGAAATGAAAGGATTAAATACAGAATAATAAGTAACCTGCCTCTACAAATAAGGAAAGTTACTGCCTTAGTGGAATTGGTAAACCACCCACTAACTTAGGGAAGCAAACACATGACAGAACATGGGAAAACAGAAAAAACAGAATAGAAACTAACTGCTGGACAGCAAACAAAAAAGATAAGCTAACTGAACTGCTTTGGACTTTGACTGACCTTAAGCTTTGTCCATGGGTGAACCTCCTTGTGTACACCTATAGAAACTAACTGCTGGACAGACAAAACAAAAAAGAAGCTAACTGCTGGACTTGACTGACTTAGCTTTTTGTCCATGGGTGAACCTCTTGTACACCTGGACGGGCTTGCTAACATTCTTTAGGTCGTTAAATCTGATATTGTCCCCAGACAGCATTTATCTGCTACTTGTAATTATTAATCAAGGGTTATGATTGTTATATCTAAGGAATTTGGAAAACCTCATATCTAGGGCAAATTTTCCCTGCTGAAAGAATTCTTTTATTCTTTTTGACTGAATCTTCTTTTCAGTACAACTATGAGAAATGCACCATGTTCCCAGATTATGAACTGCATTTTGATATCCTATGTGTCAAAGTTGCCATTTATGTAAGCTTGAGGAACTAATTGAGGTTTTCTTTTTCTTTTCTTTTTCCATTTCATTTATGCTCAATACAGGTGGAAGTCTCGTTCGCAGGCAATTTTAACAATTCTCGAGAACCTTGGAGCTGATTTCCTCTGCTTACAGGTGTTTTCAATTTATTTGTTGTATTGGGAAGGAGAAAAATTTGATAGTGGGGCTTGGAAGGAATTTCAACCTTTCTATTGTGGAATGAGAATTTATCTTTATGTTTTGTCACTTGTACTTTTGATTTCTTTTGTCACGTATTAAATTATTGATACACATAGGGATTAATGTAAACTTGTAACAAACCTTACCAGGAGGTGGACGAGTATGATAGCTTTTACAAGAAAAACATAGAGAGCCATGGCTATTCCAGTATTTATATTCAGAGGAGTGGACAGAAACGTGATGGGTGTGGAATTTTTTATAAGCACAACTGGTATCTTTGCTTTACTCCCCTCCTCTGAATCTAAGTAGATTGATTTTGGAGTTCTGCAAACATCATGCACCGAATATCATAGGAACCATTTAAGTGACACAAGATATGGGCATTTATAATCCATTTCTAAGACTAATGGTTTGTAAATTGTGTCGAATTTGAACTACAATGAGACTTGAGAATGTGAAAGCTGTTTTCTCAAATAACAACTGCATCCTTCTTCTTTTGCCTCTCCTCATAGAAATCCTACCACCATTACAAAATTGAGACTTGATTGCATATTTCTCATAGCTCAAAGACTCTAGCAAATATTTTTTCTACACGTTTCGAGACTAAAGAGCTCTTTTTCCTTTACATCCCATCTGGGACAACTCATTTTATTAATAGAATTTAACTCAAATAATTTATAACAGAATTCATATGTTTGGCATAAATTTTAGTCTTATAATTCACTTCATTTCCATCTTTTGCTGCAATCAAAAGTACAATTTATTTAGTTATTTTCTTAGTTTATCCTCATTTATGAAGCGACATATTTTAAATAAGGCGTTTTTGGTTTTCAGTAATAGGTTTCATTAAGATTAATTGAATTCTTTCAAAATCTTGCCATCTTTTTGCATGATTTCCATTTCATTCAAAGGGACTTGTTTTTATTTGATAGAATTATATGCTAGCAATTATATATTTTCCAAACACGAGTAGGGTTGCTGCATATTTGAGGTTCCCAAGCGTGGAATTTGCCAGTTTGGGTTAGTGGTCCTGGAATGGGTCTTATTGATGAGTGTTCGGTTTCTCTTCAACCTCTCTTATTGGTTTACATATCAACAATTTTATTTCAAGGATTTCTGTTGTCTTCTGATAGTGCATGATTAAACTAATATTTGTTACCAACTCATTAGATATAATCTCTTTTCCTTATCACTATAAATACCACTTTCCATTTTGTGGATTTCTTTTGACACAAATGATTTTAAACATTCTTTACACGTATCTCTTTCTCTCAGAGAATGGTAAATTTCCACTACTTGATCATTAGGCATTCAAGCTATTTCACTAAGATTGTTTGGGTTTATTCCCTATCTTTCCACTCCCACATTGTTTTTTTTAATGTTGCTTATTGATGAATGGTAATATTCCTTGGGGATTTTCATATTATTTCTTGATAGCAGCACCCTTTTGTTCCTTAGTTATCCTATTTTTCTCAAATGCCACTTCATGTCTTAGCCCCTAGAGATTGCCCATTCTTATCATGCACCTCTAATTAAGCCTTGTACATTATTAAGCATGTGAAACAATAGTTGCTAGAGGCATTGGCCCTAGTGCCTGTACTGAAGACTTAGGCAGGCAATGCAGGTCGTGCAGCCTTCAATAGGTGTGTGGTTGTGCGCAATGGCTTATGTGCACGACGCCTGTTCTAGGCTTAAGGCACAAAAGAAGCATGCATTACAAGCTTCCCTCATGGTGAGCTCTTGTGCTTCTAAAGGCCATCGACAACAAACTTGAAATTCCCCAACTTTCCGGAGTCTGGCAGTTACATGACAGGAAGGCATTGCAAATGCCCACACCATGCTAAAATCTTACTGGAACATAAACCCTGGAATTATTGGTCATTAAGACTGTACTTCTAACATTCACATATCTCAAATTATCCCCTTCTACCTTGTTTCAATCCTCTTTCTTTCTCTCACTTCTGCCTTTGGATCTTTTTTTTTCTCCCTTTTTGAACAACTTACTGAAGGAATTCTGGAAATCTAAAGATCATTCCTAGACGAGAGAAGACTGCGAATTTGTCTCAGAAGAAAGCACACATTGACCCCAAAAGAAATATACTTTTATTATGTACAAGTGAATAGTCTTTGTTAGCTGAGCTGTTTTTTAAAAGTTTTTCAGTGTTGCCATTTAAACAAGTGATGGGGAGGATTGATGTTTTTGGGTCAAGTCTATATTCATTCTGTCTTTGTTTTCCTGATGGTTATATATGTTGTTAACTTTAGATTCATGCTCCGAAAATTGTTAAGTTTGGTCAGATTAGGTGCCAATATCTGCACCTTTTATTTGTTATATTTGGTCTTACTTTTGAATTTTTCTTTGCTTGGGCCACCTGTTCCTGCCTTGAGCCTAAGCTCTAGGATTCCTTTCATGTCAAGCCATATTGAATATTGCACCTTAAAAAACTAGGCTTTATCCTTCATTTTCACTTCAAGCATTTACCTTTTTCTTTTTGTTCCCTGCTTTTAGTGCAGAATTGCTCTTAGAGGAGAGGATACAGTACAATGATCTTGTGAACTCAGTTCAAGATGAACCAAGTTCATCCAAAGATAAACATACTTATACACAGGCAGATGGGGATAAAAATGTTGAACTAAAGAATGGTAAATCTTTTTTTCTTTTTTTTTTTTTTTTCTGTAGTCTATCAATTTTCTTTATTTCAGCATCCATTAGTTCAAAATTTTTAGTATTTTCCAGATCACGTTGCCATGTGTGGTTTATCCCTAGGGACCATATGTGAAAATTGCAGTGTCGTTCCTTTTCCTCTAAGAAAAAGAGAATTACATTTATAAAGCATAACAAAAATGAGATAAACAAAAAACATGTGATTTCCTTGCTGCAGTTTTTGTTTTTCTCATTTCTTTATTCTTGTCTCTTCTCCTTTATTAGCACGCAATGAGAGATTAATTCCTTTCCTTTATTTGATCTTGGGTTTCTCCATTTGTTGATCTTCGTTCCTCTATTGAGAATTCATTCGTCAACTTTGTGGTTTATTATAAAATTCAAGCCCACCAGACAATAATCTGACAATTCTTTTCAACCTGAAAGAACTGGAACAAATGTGGGGCTTTGATTTCTCAACCGATTGGTTGAACTCTGGCTATGATGCAAGATCTTATACTTTCAGCATCTAAACATTTGAAATTAAAAATATTTAATAATATCTGGTTGTAATTACATAAATTTAGGAAAACAAAAAAGAATGCCAGAAATTTATAAAATATTGTTAGTTTTAGTCCAATAAGATAAAGAAAGTGTTTGCATAAACTCTTATCAAATCTGATTTCTTTTTTTTTTTCCCCAAATTATATTGACACAAAACACAACCAGTTTATCTATCATAACTTGGTAAAATCTTCTAGAATTGACTAGAATCATTCCTGATTTTCTACTAACATACACCATGCATATTCTAGATTAATCTTAAGCAGACTATCAAAATTACATTTTAAGATGACAGAAAAAATATCACAACACTCTTCATAACTCCTTCAAACTTTTGTTGGAAACACCAAGGCAGCTTGTTCTGTTTCAAATTTAGCTTTAGGCAAAGTTTTTGTTAAAATGTCAGCAACTTGATCCTGTGTTGCAGCAAACCAACTTAACTTTCCCTTCTTTTTCTGTTTCCTTGACAAAATGATATCTTATTTTTATATGCTTGGTTCTGCCAGAAAAAACTGGGTTCTTACAATGTCACTGCTGATTGATTATCACAAATTATGGTTGTAGCTTCGTCTTGCTTTTGGTTGAAACCATTTTAGTAGTTTTCTAATTAAGATGGCTTGATTTACTGTAGCTGAAGCTGCTATGCACTTTGCCTTAGCAATAGGTTGTGCCACACTTTGCTTTCTTGAAATCCAGCTAAAAATTCCAAAATTATTCTATTATGATGTCTCTCAACACTCTTTGTGCAACCTTTGAGATGCAATTCACTTGGACTCTGAATAAATCTAGACAAGCTGACAGCAAACTGTTATGGCGCTGCTCGACTTAGGGTAGTTTTACTGCTATTTACGGTGTTTTTATTTAGTTATTCAGTTTTTTATCATGTTATTTTCAGTTTCTTTGTTAGTGGCCTGCCTCGACTTAGGGTAGTTTTACTGCTATTTACGTGTTTTATTTAGTTATTCAGTTTTTATCATGTTATTTTCAGTTTCTTTGTTAGTGGCCATTATGGTGTGGGTAAGCAAGTAACTTATTGTAATGGTAGTTATTAAGTTGGGTAGTTTGGGTAGTTTTTTAGCTTTACATTTAGTGTTTAAAAAGGGCTGTTTTATATTCAGGAAAAAATGTAAGCAGAATTTTATGAAAAGGTTTTGAGTCCCTAAAACTAGAGATTGTAGAGTTCTCTCTTAACGAGCTCTAGGAGATTGCAGATTCTCTCTAAGTCTGTCACCACTTGAATAGAGGGAAGAAAACTCCCTCTAAGATACCCCATCTCAAACCTGAATTCCCCTATTCAAAGACCCTAACTAGATCCAAATTTGGGAACCATAACAATTGGTATCAGAGCAACAGTTTTATGGGCGAATCTGTTCCAAGACCAAGCTTATCCAAAACTCTTCAAATTTTACCTCCTTATCTGAGCAGCAAGGCAATCAGACCATATAATGAGAAGGTGAACAACTTCCATGCCAAATTGGGATGCCATGTTTTTGAACTTGGAATCCAAAAGAAGCGGGCTGACTTCTTCAATTGCTGAGAGTCCCAGCACCGAAAGCAAAAAGGGTCCCCAATAGGTTCAGCTGTCTAGAATCTCCTAGGGGCCACTACAACTTTTCGAAATTCCAGAGTTTGGAGGTTCTTGACCACCCTATGATGAGTAATAATTTAGGAAAGTTGGCAAGATTTGGAACAACCTAAAACTTGCGCAGGAGCGAATAGTTTTCCAGCAAATGTTTCAAAGTCTCATAGTTGTGTGTACAGAGATAAGAGCGAGAAAGAAAGAAATAAATCAACATCAATTGTTAGCACAAATTAAGGGGGTCTTTGCTTTGTGATTTGCAGCCGTCTAAATGGGAAGGGAGGGGGAAGAAAGCAATTCGAGAAATGACCAAGAGGAACATTAGAGGAGCCATTTTGAATCAGGCATATTAATTAAATATAGAATGCACAATAAACAGCTCCTTATTTGCAGAATAATAGAGGGTAATAAGGAATTTTGTTTGCATCACATTTTCATAAGTTGAAGATTGCATGTCATCCATCCTTTGCGCTTGAGGACAAAGCGCTTTGTTTCGAGGAGGGGTGTTAATGTTTATGGCGCTTGCTCGACTTAGGTAGTTTTTTACTGCTATTTAACGGGTTTTTAATTTAGTTATTCAGTTTTTTTATCATGTTATTTTCAAGTTTCTTTGTTTAGTGGGGCCATTAGTGGGGTGTTAAGTCAAGTAACTTATTGTAATGGGTAGTTATTAGTGGGGTAGTGGGTAAGTTTAGCTTTTACATTTATTGTTTAAAAAGGCTGTTATAATCAGGAAAAATGTAAGCAGATTTTAATAAAAGGTTTTTGAAGTTCCTAAAACTCAGAGATTGTAGATTCCTCTCTTAACGACTTCTAGGAGATTGCAGATTCTCCTAAAGTTCTGTCACCATGATAGAGGGAGAAAAACTCCTTCTAAGTACCCATCTCAACCGATTCCCTAATTGATAGAGGGAAGAAAACTCCTTCTAAGATACCCATCTCAAACCTGATTCCCCTAATTCAAAGACCCATAACTAGATCCAAATTTGGGACCATAACACAAACATAATGGCAGGCCTTGTTGCAGTTGGATAATCAGCCAATCATAATTTAGTGAACTCCACTCTCGAATTTCACAGCTTCATCTTCTATCATTTTTTTTTTTTTTTTCATTTTGAGCTAATGGAGTACTTTTTGCCTTGCAATTCTCCGAAGCAAATTTCTTGAATCCTTCACTAGAAGGCTGTCTTTTGCAAATAAAAATTCCTTGCTGTGCTTGATGAATCTCCGTGCCAAGAAAGTAAGTCGAGTATCCTAAATCTGTCATCTCAAATGCCTTCTCCATTTTTTATTTGAATTCCTCTACCAAAGTTGAACTGCTGCTGGTTATAAGAAGATTATGTAAATATAAGGAAATGATCACAATTTCATGATTGACAAGCTTCATCCGTAATTTGTGAGTGTTGATTCAAGCTCCTCTTAAAGCCCATCTTTCTTGGTACCATCAATTCTTCTATACCATGCTCTAGGAGCCTGTTTTAATCCATATAGGACATTTTTGAGCAAATACATCTTTTCTTCACTTCCTGCAGTGACAGAGCCCTTTGGTTGCTCTACAAATATCTGCTTCTCTTTGTAACCATTCAGAAAAATTGACTTGACATCAATTTGGTACACTTTCTAATGTTGTTGAGCTGCAATTTCAATTAACAACCTGCGTCATTTTCTGCTCCTGGAGCAATGGTTTCAATGAAGTCCATCCCATGCTTTATATTTATGCTAGTTGGTTCTGATGACAGCATTTTCAGAGTTAGTATAACTTGCAAACTCTGCTTCCTCTTTCTCTTGTTGCAACTTGTTCTTGGAGTGTGGCCCACTGAATTTCTTCTTATTCACTGCCTCATCTTCCTAATCGAGCTTCTATATTTATCTTCACATCTTTGCAAGTTGAAATATTCTTATTTTCTAAGTTGAAATTTCTATAGCATTTTGATTTGCACCCGTAAGAACACCAATTTCAACCTTTTGACTTAATTTATTTCTTTTAACATTAGGAATTTAAGTTTAGTGGATGCTCTCGAACACTCTTAGATGCTCAACATTAGGCTTGAACTTGTACCAAGTTTCATATGGAGTTTTCTCCTTCAAGCTTCTGTTGGAAGTTTGTTTTATAAGTAAATGAATGTACCTCTGCCAAGATTCGCTTGGAACTTTCTTCTCAAACATGAGAAATCTGGCTATCTATATCACAACATTGTTTTTACTCTCACACACTCTGTTCTGCTGTTGGTGAGCAGATTACAGTAAATTGGTGTTTGAGTCCTGCAGCTTCATGGAATTTGTCAAATTTTTCACCACTATATCTAGTGCCACTAACTGATTTAGTGACTCTAATACAAAAACCATTTTCATTTTCCACCAAAATTCTTGCATTTTTAAAACACTTTGGCAATTTTAGATTTTTGTTTCCAGAACCAAACCCAACGCAAGTATCTACTACCATTTAGAGAAGGGGCCCTCATGTGACAACATGCATCAGAATGGATGATCTGCAATTTTTTGTTTTCTATTCATGCTTGATTCTTTGAATGGTAGTCTGCTTGTTTGTCATATTGGGAAACACCACTGGCACCATCTCATTCATATATGGTAACCATTTTCTCAAATAGTTCCAATTTTTTGATTTGTGGAAGTGGAGAAATTGGCAAGGTCGAATTTCTTGTGCCATAATGTTGATTCATCAACTGAATTAGAGTATGAAAGAGCATTTTTTGCAACTCCAATCGAGATGGAAGCTTTTGTTTTTCCTTTTGACAGTCATTAATTCACTTCCATCTGGATCTATTTTAGCGCAAGCCATGTTTTTAAATAACAATTTATAATTCTTCTCAAGCAATTGACCAAACACTAAATAAATTTTGATTTATTTCAGGCACATACATAACATCAGGAGTAAATATAGTACCTGTTGGAGTATTTATAGCATGAACTCCTTTGCCTTTGGCATGTAAAATCTTTCCATTGCCACTTTTGACTCTTGTTATGGGATGTATCCAACTTCTTGAAATATTGGGATTGGAGGTCACCTAATGGGTGCCTCCACTGTCAATTAACCAAACTCCTAATTGGTTTGAACTTCTTAGCTGTTTGTATTAAGCAAGTGGTTTCTTGCTGCTGCTAACTTTCTGAAACTTGTGCTTTGTTTGGATGGAGGGAGGATGCAAAATGAGAGAGTAAAATGGTATTATTCATTTTACCTCCTTATTTTACACTCTGTGTTTGGTTTGGAGGGAAAATAAAAGGGTGGGAGTAAAATAAATTTATTTTACTTAGTTGCACCTTTGTTGTTTTTATTTTCCTCCCATTTTGGAGAGTAAATTGGAGGAAGTAAAATAAATCTTTTACTTAAAGTTGCACCTTTTGTTGTTTTTATTTTTCCTCCCAAGTAAAATAAATTTATTTTACTTAGTTGCACCTTTGTTGTTTTTATTTTCCTCCCATTTTGGAGAGTAAATTGGAGGAAGTAAAATAAAGATATTTTACATCCACTCCTTATTACCTCCTTGCCAAACAAGGTATTTTGCAAATCCCAAAAAACTTTCACTTATTATTTTACATCCCTCCTTATTTTACATCCAACCAAACAAGCTCTTGAGCTTAGCTTCTGGTTGTGATGCTCCCTTTATTTCTATTAATTTTCTCCACATGGCCAAACCTTTGTCTGTATCACCATCTTTCTTTTCTTTATATTTTCCCTCATTATTTGATTTCTTGTCTCGAGTTTTCTTGATACTTCACTTGATTCCTTGCTACAGGAGCTCCTTCGCTATTATCCTCCATTCTTAATGATCTTCTATCCTCAATAGCTTGCAAAACATTTATGAGTTCTAAGAGAGTTATGCTTGAAAGATCTCCAGAATCTTCTAAAGGAGGTTTTTATTCAAATATATCAGGAATGCTAAACCAAGTCTTTCTTCACTGTTATATAATTTAACTCTTCATCCATCACCCTGATTTGATTCACCCCCTTCAAGAGTCTATCAGAAGATTATTGATCAGTCCTTTTTTTTTTAACCTTCAAGCCTTCAAAATGCTTTCTCAAGTTCAAGACTTGAATTGGTCTCGTTTTTTACTGCTTTCAAGTTATTCTCTTAGTTTGTCCCAAAATTCTTTTCCAATTTCACAAGTTATTATCCTTGTAAAAATGTTCTCATTCACAACAAAGAGTTATACAGGCCAAACTTTTTGGCACACTCTTGAAATTGACATTTCTTACAATGTCATGGGGAATGGAAATATACTATTTAGGGGAATTGAATTCTGACTCCCCAATAGGTCACCCATCTTAGTACTATTCTTGTCCAAGCACGTTTAACTAATTTTGGATGGGATGTGGTGCATTAGTGCTGGTACAATTTCACCCTTCATTGGACAATTATTTTTATGCTGGCTGTCCACCTACCGCAATCCTCCTCCTTTTTCCGGGCCAGGAACTGGCTATGTTGCACTAGGCTCACATAGGCTGAGTTTGTATAAGGAAATTGAATAATAATGTTAATTGTGTCTCCTTGTGACTTATAAGAAAAATGAGATCCTTGAATAACATTCTAACCAAATTTGTTTGTTTTAATTTCTGAGTTAACATTGTGTATATTTTGTCATGACATATTTGTGGTGGTCTGTACATGAATATGGATCCGTCTGTGAATGCTTTTTTCACTAATATAATAGAAACATCAGATCATCTCTGATTATATTGATTTATTATATTATGACTTGTCAAGCTCGTGGTTCACTCAATGATCCATCATCAGGTTTTGATTCCTCATTAAAAAGTACCCCCAATGATCGTGGAGATCCTAATGATCCTCGTGTAAGATTGAAGCGTGACTGTGTTGGAATAATGGCTGCATTTAAACTCAAGGATGCTTTTAATCATACAATTATTGTAGCAAACACTCATCTTTACTGGTATGTTGGACATTATACTGTGTGATGATACATAGCTTCATAGCGTGCTTATTTGAATATCTTCACTTCCAGGAATATTGTTTTGAAGTTTGTCTTGAAGTTTGTTGGCTGAAGGTATAATGCATTTTGATGATTTTGTTTTAGGGATCCAGAATGGACTGATGTCAAGCTTGCCCAAGCTAAATATCTTCTATCGCGCATATCTCAATTTAAGGCTCTAGTTTCTGACAAGTTTGATTGTACACCCTCCATCGTTCTGGCTGGTGACTTCAATTCTACCCCTGGAGACAAGGTATGTTACTGCACTTTCTTCTTCTCTTCTCATGTCTTTTTTATTCAGTTTATTTTAATCCATATTTATGCAGGTTTCTCCTTGCACTTCTTGGTTCTTTTGTTTTTGTTTTTTCCCCTATTATACTTCAGGACACATTTTTGAACTTTCTATGCTTTTCTTTCTCACGTCATACCATTATTTTTTCTTTTAGGTTTATCAGTATCTTGTTTCGGGCAACTCTTCAATTACACCATTAGCAGAATGCCTGGATGAGCTTCCTATTCCCTTATCCAGCGTTTATGGTCATCTAAGAGGAGAACCACCGTTCACAAATTGCACCCCTGACTTCACAAATACACTTGATTATATATTCTTTTCCCCTGATGAGAAAATAAAACCAGTCAGTTTCCTAGAACTTCCAGAACCAAATTCGCCTGATGTTCTTGGCGGATTACCAAACTATAGCCATCCAAGTGACCATCTACCGATTGGTGCTGAATTTGAAATCTCCAGGGAATAATGTTAGTCACAAAGCTAATTTCAATCTGATTTCTTATTTATGTTTTTTTTTTCACAGTTGTCCTTTTACTACAAGCATTCATATGTTCCTTTTTGGATAGAACAAGATATTTTTTACTTTATTTTGGAGGTTTCATTTGTTTGAATATTTGATTTGATTTCAAGGATTAATAAGCAACACTTTTAGGATCAATAACCAAAATTTTTTTTACGAGCGAGCTAAAAAATGTTGGAGCAGAGCCGTCAGTGTGAGTTTGTGTTGATGGTGTTACTCAAAACAGCAGCGAAGTGAAGTTAAAACTACAGTTTTTTTCTAAACTTCAAGTTAAACCTATTGTGCTCTTAAAGTTTTATTTTTATTATTATTATTATTATACCCCTTGCCATACTGGAATGCCAGAGTGTGTGTTCAAATGCTCAGAAGCGAGCGAACCTAAGGAATGGGTCCAACATAGCAAGATAGACGTTATATCTTCAAAATGGTACTTCACCAAAAATGATAAGGCAATTCCATTTCCAAATTCTATCTATAAACAAAAACTACAGAATTCCTTCATAAAAATTTTCCACTGAAACATATTTGTCTTGAGAATGATTAGAAAATTAAGTTACAAACTAAACTAAATAGAATTATATCAGCATATAGAATTTCTTGATTGGAAATCAAATATATTCCAAAGAAAATGACTAAGTATCAATAAGACTAGCTCTGTAATACATACATACATTGAAAAAGGGAGTTGCTTTGAAATGAAAAAAAAAAAAAACCTTTTGTTATCTAGAAAAACTCGTTATCTCTCCACAGTTCAATCCTATCAAATTACTTTCTCTCTCCTATAATTGGTTTCACCGCTGCTAAAGAAGATGATGAGATAGAGAGATAAAAATAGGTGGAGAAAGAAAAATGGAAATAGAAAGCAAGAGGTAGAAGTGGACATGCAACTCAGCTCATCACTAATCACAAGAAGGACATTAAACTTTATTTAGAGAAAAAAATTCAATTGAACACAACGTCAGATCTTACCTTGATTTTTTGGGATTCAAATTGGGTAAAAATTGAATCTCTCTCAAATTCACTTCCTTCAATTGGGTGTATTAATTTATTGGGGGTGAAGATGGTAAAACCCTAAAAAAAAATGATCTAGGAAGCAAGAGACAGAAGAGCGATTATTTAGCACTCTGAGAGATTGATATAGCGAGAGAAGGAGATGAGAGGAAGAGACTGATGAGTATTGAAAAAAATTCCTCAGAGAAACAGAAGAGGAAGAGAGCATGTGAGGTGGCGTATACGTGTTGTTATTTTTACCAAGTCAGAGCATTTGTGCTGTACGCATTTCCTTAGCTCTGATGAAGAGAATAATAATAACGAAAAATAGAACTAAGGGCACAATAGTTAAAAAGTGAAGTTAAAGAGCACAAATGGTTATTTGATAAAAGTTTAGGGGCAAAATTATGCATTCAGCCTTAATTTTTTTTTTGTCTTTTTAGCCCCCTTTTTGCTACTTTTCTTTCAATTTTGACCCTCTTGTGGACTTTATTTTGGCACACGAGTTACAATCACCATTATTACATCCATTGCAAATATTTTCCAAAAAGTAGTCATATTAGGGTTTTCATGCAACAAATTTATGTTCGCATTAGACATACATTTTATATGCATACATGCATCCATACATAAAAACATGCATTCATATTGTATTACTAACTAAAAATGCAGGTACAGAAAATAAAGCCAGTTCGAAATGCATAGTGGTTCAAAGTACAATCACAATTACAAGGGCTAAACACATATTTTGGCCATTGAACTTTCACGTTTTTGCCAATTAAGCCTTTTTTTTTCAAATTTTAACCTATTGCACCCTCAAACTTTTGGTGTGTATTTCACAAAACCCTTTTGGGCCCCCTTTTTGATGAAGTGTGTGGTAACAACAAAAATTGCCCATATAATTTGTTAACCTCCGTTAACACACAAAATGATGTCGTCTTCATTTTTATACTATTGCCCTAAACATAAATCCTTAAATATAAAAACATTGTCATTTTCATCTAAATTTTTAATTGGTTGCCCTAACAACCCAATAGCATCTTCACGCTCGCCCTAAAATGGGGCTAAACCACCACACTTGCTGCCTCCACCAACCACCACCATCATTGTAGCATGTCAACACTTGCACCTAACTCCAATTCGAGCTCCCAGTGTCAATCTTCCTCCAAACAACTCCCAAGAGATAATCCTTGCTCTGGTCCCTTTATCTCAAAAAGTCCTAACCATTTTCCCTCCTTACAACTTCCAATCACCATCTAAGAGACTAATCTTCCAATGACATTCGCCATCTTTAAGAATTTAATTCTAGTAAGAACTTCGTTGGCTTCATTGTATCTCTCTCTGAATCCATCCGCGGCTATAAAATCTTTGATCCTTGCCATGAATCACATATTGTAAAGACTATATTCTCGTTCTCGAGTCCCTAATTCAATGGGTTGATGAAATTCTAAGAGCTCTTCAAAACTGGATTTTATTTGTGATAGTCGAATTGTCTAGAGGAGCTGAATCGGATTCAAGTTGTCGTGGTCGTGTCATTTACTGGTATGGTCCATGAGTAATCCCATTCAGGTGATAATGACCTAAAACCCTATAAGGGTTGTGAACCAAAGGTAAATATAACAGATCATATGGTAGAGTATGATTGTTTAATATTAGCAAGTGATATGCTTTGGGATGTGGTGTCAAATGACACATGTGGACGATCGCATATGTGTTTGAAAGGAAAAGAAGGCAATCATTTTCGACGCTGGAGAATGAGATGCTATTGGGTGGTGGTGGCAGCGCCACCAATAGATGCGGCGGGTAGATGTCAAACAAGGCATGTTCTGACACATTGTTATTACTGAGAAGCTGGCCTTAGCAAGACAAAGCACTGATAACATGAGCATGGTTGTGGTGGATCTAGGGAGAGACATGTAGATATGAACTTATTAACTTTCTTTGTTATTTACCTTTTTGTGTTTTTTGTTTGAATGATGATATATTTGAGATTTTATATTCCTATAGACGTCTGAGGGAGCAAACCCAATTGAAAATGAATTGACATCATTTCATGCTTTAATAGAGGATTAACGATTCATGTGCACAATTTTCGTTGTTATTGCATCCTTAGTCAAGAAAATTGTGCAATAGCTTCATGAGATGCAAGCTCAAAGTTCAAGGGTGCAATTGGTTAGAATTTGAAAAGGATTCAATTGGCAAAAACGTAAAAGTTCATGGGGCCAAAATATGCGTTTAGGCGAACTACAAGTCTAAAAATTAAGAACAGATAAGCAGGGTCAAAGTTAATGGACGAAGCATGGCCTCTCTTCTGATGAATCCTCTGACCCTTAACAGGTGGGGCAACAGTCGTATCACCCTCCTTATGAATGGCAAGGCTACTAAGAGCTACGATCAACATAGTATGCATCCTCTAGCCCACTATATAGTTATATCGAACCTAGTCGGTTGTAAACTACAAAAAAAAAAAAATTCACTTAGAAGATCCTTTTAGATAAGTGAATGAAGAATTATAATTAGATGATCCTTTCTTACAAGTATAAAAAGAACTCACCTCAGTCAATACCCTCAGGAGGTAGTCTGTAAGTAATTGAAAACTTCACATTAGTAATGCCCTAGACATGGTATGAGGACCGAGAGTAAAATATACAATCCGCATAGAATAACTGCAATGCAAACACAAAAGTAAATGTAACCAACATTCCTTCTCATAAGCTACATTTAATACATTGCCTATAAAATAATATCATTAGTGGATCTCATACCTTCCATTTTCTATTCAAAAGCAATAACCACTACACGCTTCACTATATCCCTCTTTATTGCATGCTCCATCACAAGCTTCCTCAAGAACTCGTCATCAAACCTAGAGTCCTAGAATACAACCCAAAACCCACCACCATGTGCAAGAACATGACTGCTTTTGCGAGCCCCACAACTTTGCCACCTCCACATCCACCACCTTGTGGCCTAACCTTCAATTTTTCCCCAAACTTTTCAAGTAATTACAAGTTCACTCTAAATTGACCTTTGTACCCTGAGCACCTTGAACTTATTAATCTAGTTGCAATTACATCCTAATTTAAATTAAAATTTAACTCATTATTCTTTGCATCTCAAAATTGATTTTATTTTAAAATTAAATACGTAATCTTAATTTTTTTTTATTTATTATATGAATACTTGGAGTTGATTTTATTATTTATTATTTAAATACTTGGGTATGGAGTATATTTTTACATTATTTTAATCAAAATTGCAACCTTAGTTTAGTTTTAGGGTGCAATTGCAATAAATCGACAAGTTTAGGATGTTGTAATTCACTTTTAGGGTGTAATTGCACTCTAAAAGCAAATTAGGGTGCAATTACAACTAGGTTGATAAGTTCATAGTGCCCGTGGTACAAAGGTTCTTTTAGAGTGAAATTACAACTACTCGAAAAGTTCGGGGTAAAATTGAAAGTTAGGCCCCCTTGTTCTCTCTTAACTGACTCCTCCTTCCATCTCTCCAAAATACTTGTTGCTCTGTCTACTACAATCAAAGCAAATTTTGGATCTTTTTTCTCGCCAAAGTAATTGCCTCCCGGGAAAAGCACTTGAACCAGCATTCCACTCGCCCATCACTTGTTAATAACTCCAACTTTCTCAATTTTGTTACTAGTAATTATTTTTGTCAATCATATAAAAGGAACTTGTTTTGTCTCATAAGAAAGAAAACTCAAGCAATGAATGAAGCTTTCCTATGCATGATCATTAACACTTCTAGTATTGAAAAACATTTTTTGAGGACATATTGTGCTAAATAATTTTATATCAAATATAAACCAATGTTTGCATAAATCCACAAGCACACAAAAAAGTAGAGGGTGACAAGATAGAATGTTAAAGGGCCTCTTTATGAAAAGGTCAAGTAATATAGTAATTACAATGTCCATAATAAATAGAGAAAATAAGAATGGGTAGATCTTTTAAAAAAAAGTGTGAATGGATTTATTGTAGTGTTTTATGAACTTTTTTGAATCCATGGTTGCAAGAATCAACAGAGAAAATCTCTTTAGGTTGCTATTTAGGCAAGTTGAAGACATTATATCAAGGCTACCATAAAATCTAAGGTATTGGTCTTAACTAAGATGACCAAACAATTTGATCTTTCGCTTA